TTAAAACCTGGCAAGGCTACTCTAACACTGAAAAAACAGGATGATGCAGCAATGACATGCATGGACTCTGGCTTGCACGTTTTGTGGTCAGCCCTGATTCTGACACTTATAACTGTGTGACAAAGCCAATTACTTAGCTTCTCTCTGCCTTAGTTTTTCCACCCATAAGATGGGGAAAATGGCACTACTGCCTCAGAAGGATCATGTTATATACTGCTTTTTATAATCAGGGCAAAAAAATGTAGCTGCTCGTACAACAGCAAGATGCCTGTCACCTGTATGAAAAGTATGGTCACTGATGCATGCAGCATCCCGGATTGCAAGAGGGATGTCCGATGTGGGGATCGGGCCTAAACCGGCAGTCAGACATCCCCTGAGGGCGCAGACTGGGCTGATGGACCCCCCCCCCCCCCAGTGCACAAATTTTTGTGCACCGGGCCTCTAGTACCTTAATAAAAAAATAGTACTCTATTAACTCAAAATGAGGGGATGATTGCTCCTGCTGTCCCCTGAGAACGCCACCTCGGGGGTGGAGGATGGTGGGCAGTTAAGGGGGTGGTGGGCTGGCCACTGGCTACAGGGAAGGCCAGGAGAGTGAAGGCACATGGTCAGATCCACTGGACACTGAGAACCATGTGGGTGATGAGTGCTCTGGAGGCTGTCAGGTGGGTCAGGAAGGGGACCAAGGGCACCCAGGCTGTTTCCATGTGCTCTGAAGTGTGAGCAATTGGCTTATTTGTTAACAGGATCACCATTTAAGGGGGGATCTGTTCTTAGAAGACCAAGGGTAATTATATCAGTGAGAGCACATCCCTGGTATATGACCCCGAACTCCCCTTCCTGTGCCCATTCTAGACATCACTAATCGATTATGGCCTTCTTCACAGTAGGGTCCAGCTCCCACTCACATGTCCTGTACAACTATGTATTGATGTGGGATGAGTCCATCCACGCCATTGTGACGACCTTCCCACCAGTCCTCCGAGGCACGGTGGTACAATAGCAGCGAGGCCCCCTTCTTGAAGGACAGCTCACGAGGGGACCGCCCCACGTAGTCAAACTTGGCGATGGCCTCAATCTGTTCCACTTCTGGAGGGAGAGAAGAAGAAGAGCATCCATAAGGTCAGCAGAAGGACAGCCTGGGGGCCTTGCTCAGATGGCCCTGGCTTTTATGGGGCAGCACAGACAGCAAGCCCAGTGTAAACAGCGTGGGCTGGGTCAGGACCCCAGGGTTCTAGGCTCAGATCCACTCTCCCATGCTGTGACCCAGGCAGGCCATCTAACTTCTCAAAATGGAAAGAGGGGGCTGACATACAGGTCCTTATTTTCCACTGCTCTTTTTGTTCCCTATCTTAAAAACACTTAACAACATTATAAGAAATTTATTTTCCTTCTACCCCTTAAAACAAATTCTGTTTCCATTTTTCCATGAACCGTTTCCCTCTTTGTCCACTTACAATACTTTTAGTGATTCTTATTTTGGGGGAAGTTAAACAGGAGGTGTATGTGGACTGCCATCTATGCAAAATGTTATACATATGCACATTTTTAAGGGTTCCCAGAACTCTTTAAGGCAAGCATGTCAAACTCTTAGTCCGCGGCCCGCATGCCTTGTTTATTTGGCCCATGTTAGCCTTCTGAGCTTGACACGCTTGCTTTAAGGTTTCCTCAAAGCTCATCGTTTTACACTGAACGGCATCCCCCAAAACCCATATGTGGAAGCCCTAACCCCCAATGTGATGTTTTTGGAGATGGGGCCTTTGGGAGGTAACTGAGGTTAAATAAGATCAAAAGGGTGGGGCCCTAATCGCATAGAACTGGTGTCCCTCTAAGAAGAGGAAGAGGCTTCAGAGATTTCTCTCTCTCCACATGCAGCTGTCTACCAGCCAGGAAGAGAGACTTCCCCAGAAGCCAACCCTGATGGCATCTTGACCTTGAACTTTTACAGCCTCCAGAATGCTGAGGGAATAATCTATGTTGGTTAAGCTACCTGGTCTGTGGTATTCTGTTATGGACTTAATGTTGAGGGAGGGAGAATTATTACTGGGCCATAGCTCCAGCACATCTCTTTGCACATACATATTTACCGATCAAACATTTACTCTTCTCTGGACAGTGACAGGCTGGGACTGGGTTAAACAATGAGGATATGGCTCTTGTGCTTGAAGCACTCCTACTACCCAGCTCTGTCACCTGTTGTCTGGAACTCAGGGAAGTTACTTAACCTCTGTACCCCTCAGCTGCCTTACTTGTAAGGGTTGTTAGGAGGATTAAAAGGTAATGCATGAAAGACAACATAGCACAGACATACATTAGGTATTCAGTTGATAATGGCTCTCATGATTATGATTATTATTACTAATGGATTTAGCCTATGGGGTAGGTCTAAGTAAGAAATCTAAGCTGCCAAGAGTTTGAGTGGTTTGCCTACAACCATACAGCTGATGATGTCTGGGGAGGAGACTGTATAGGGAGCAGGAAAGTTATGCCTATGATTGATTTAACCTATACTATAGTTTATACCCTAAGAAATGTCCACACTTGGTAGAAAACTGTGTATAAGTATTAATGTATTTATATTTTAAAACAAGCACAAAAACGTTTAACATTATACAAATAATATGTGTAGGTATATTAATCCTAATAGAACAAGAGTAACAAAAGTGACCCTTGCTCTCTCTAGCCTGCAGATACTTTCCCTATGCTTAGCATCCATGGGTCTCCATATCTGCTCCATTCCTGGTAGATTATCTGTATCTGTCCTTTCAGCCATCCACCTGTCCTCCATGGAGGAAAGGCCAGAACACCTGGTTTTGCTGCTTTTTAGCTGTGTGACCTTTGGCAACTTATTTCTCCTTTCTAAGCCTCAGTTTCCTCATCTGTAGAATGGGAATGAATAATAATAGTACCTATACCTTCTAGGGTTGTTATGAGGATTAAATGAGTTACCATACATGAAGTGCTTGCAATAGTGTGCGCATATGGTAAACTCATATGAGAGTTTGTTGTTGTCACTAGAGCTGATGTCCTTTCAAGCACTAAGGCAGTATGGAAAGTCAAAGAGCAGAGGGAGCAAACCCCTTTGTTCATCCCCACACTGATCCCCACCATACGCGTGTACTCGAGCTCTCTGTAAGCAGCTGGCCCCGGATGACTGTTGGTGATCCCATGAGACACAGAAGTCTTTGGAAGCACACAATCCTCAGTGCCTGGGGCAGCCTTCTGTGGGGAGCGGGTGTTGGACAGTTAAGTCAGCTTTTCCCAGCTGGCTCCCTGACAAATGTCTTCAAATGCCTTCCTAACACAACTGATGCAGAATGACAGCACAGCTAAATGGGTCAAATACCTCGGATCCTGACTCAGAGTCACCTTCTTGGAAAATTGGGGAGATCTCCGTCCTCCTCTGCCTCTTTGACTCTTCTCTGAGCCAGCCACATGCTAGCACTGCCTGCAGCCCAGCTACAGAGAGCAGGAAGGCCAGAGGGTCTAAGGCAGGAGCTGAACCCGGCTGGCGGTGCTCTGGGCGTTCACCCCAGGGTGTCCTCTGAGCCAGCCGATTCAGCTGATAAAGAAGCTGGCCTGAGCAGAGGTTAGCTCCTGCTAGGAGCAGCACACAGGAGCCCCTTGGGTAGC